TTCCGTATACCTTAAGGTAAATAAATCATTGTTCTTAAGAGTTCCAGTTGACAAAAGATTTTATACAGAATCTATATCTAAACCAGTATTTCAAACCAATAAGAAGAGAAAGAAAAATTAAAAAAAAAAAAAAAGAAAGAAGTAATTAGTTTTCTAACAGCACCAGTGGCGCGTTTTATGTGAAGATAAGTTAAAGAAAGAAATAAAAAAGGAGATGGAAGGAAGATGAAGGCGATCGAAGTTTAAAAAGAACTTGGCTCAGAGTGCTTAAGCCAGTATAATGCTCAGTGTTATCTAACGTTATATTTTTAGTGAAACTCCGTGTCATACTCATGTACTATAATATTATATATTATTATATAATCCAAGACGGAATAATACATACAGTAGGCGCAGTTTTTAAATGTCTTGGATGCAAATACAGCGTATAAATACAGACAAATGCGCGCGCACCTAAATACTTTCATGTTCACACACGCATACACACACAGACAGAAACTTAAAAGAAAAATGAACAGACAAGCGCAACGATCGATTAAATAACAAAAATTGAAAAAGAACGGTTTTACAAAATATATGGATAAAAACATCAAAACGACTAATGAATATACGAATAACAATCAAAGATAAACGAAAAAAGACGATACTTAAATAGCTTCTATCATAGCGACTCGATCATAGTGGTACGTAAATTTTCATAGTTAATCACCATGAGGCATATTACGATAATATTTAATTTACTCTCCCTAAAAGCGCAAATATCTATTTTCATTTTTATTTTACTATCCATTTTTAAAATAAAAGAGTTTTTTTTCTATCCGTATAACCGTGCGATCGACGACTACTTATCCTTCTGTCCATGTCCCCTTATCTTCCGACTTACACTTCCTTCCTGATTTTTCTATTTTTTTTTCTTTTTTTTTTTAATTTTACTTTAAAATTTAATGATTATCGGTGGTATTATTAATTTGTAGATAGAATTGAATTTGTTGTGCCGGGTGCGCGCCCTTCTCGAAATCCGCGTTCGCGCGCCTTAGCTCTCTCCTTTATTTTCCTCATCCTTGAGTCTCTCTATAGTATAAAATATTTTGGGAGAAAAATTGTACATAATTTCATTAGAGTCGCATTGAGAAAAGGAAAAAAGCAAGATCATTTTGCTATTCTTCATATATTGATTTATTATATTTTTCTCGGCGTATTAATATACGATCATGCACTTTTGAAGAAGGAACAAATAAGTGTGTAATATTACGTTATATAAATTTAGTTATGATAACGTAGTAAAGATACGTGTTCTATATATATTGTATGAATAAAACGACATTCAAACAAGTTACTGTTCTTATATTACTTTAATATAAAAGTTATATAAAGTGATATCGTACTAGCATTATATCTCAGGGCATATATACTCATGTAAATCATTTCATTCGCAGCAATCAAATTATTCTATCAACTGAGCCTTTCTCTATATGTGTATGGTCGTATGTAACAAAAATTCATTATATATGTACATGCATATATATATATATATATATATATATATCATTTGTATGTATACATATGAAAAACGACAGCTTGTGAAATACAATTTTTTTACCGAAATGTGTACATCAAAAAAAAAAAAAAAAGAATGCACGAAAGAAGCCAGGTATTGCCGCAAGTTACCGGAGTCTCAGGTGGCTCTTGGATGCGGATTCCGGAAGTCGAGAAAGCGAGTCTCCGGCACAGAATTTTTTATGTGTATAATTTAATTTATATAAAAAAAAATATATATATATATATTGTATGTCAGCGATATAAGAGAGTGAAACTTGTCGGCTGGATGTTTGTATATTGATCTGAGTTATTTCGTATGCATTTACGATGAAAAAAGAATAGGAAATAAATAACTAAATAAAGTAGTTTGAAAAAGAAGTTTGTACAATTGGAAATGACGATTTTTTCAAAATTATCATTTCCGCTGATCCAAACTCTGTTGGCCTGTACATTTTCCAAAATCTTTCTTCAGTTTCCTCTATTG